TGCCACCGCCGGGCCTCCGTGGCCGGGCATCTCTGCAGCCAGTGCTCCAAATCTTGGGGCTCCTCGCTGCACAATGGACATATTGTTGTTGTTGTTGCTGTTGTTGTTGTTGTTGTTGTTGTTGTTGTTGTTGTTGTCGTCGTTGTTTGGTTTTTTTCAGCTTTTTTATTTTTAAATTTTTTTTTCTGTTTTGTTTGTTTGTTTATTGGTTTATTATTTCAACCTGGTGGTTTATAATTTAATGTAGTAAGAAGAAGAATATAATTTTCATCTCACTGAGTGGGTGGGTGGAGGGCGCCACTGGTAGGTCCTGTTTCTTCTCTCTCTCTCTCTCTCTCTCTCTCTCTCTCTCTCTCTCTCTCTCTCTCTCTCTCTCTCAATCCAACTCAGCTCAGCAAGCCATGAAACGCCGTTAAGCACGAGCTCAAGCACCTGTGCGCTCAAGGGCTCCCCATCAGACCCGACAGTCATTTTATGGGCATGCACGCACACTCTATTTTGTTCCTGGGGAAAGAAAGCGTTTACACCTGGGAACGAAAAAAAAACTATTCAAAAAAAAAAAAAGAACTGTGCTGGGGAAAACACTAAAAAACAAACAAACGACCAGGCGCCGAGATAAGTGCGCAGAACTGCAAAATCTGGGGACTTTTGTGGTTCAAAGAATAGGGGTAACAGCCTTGCACATGACGGACGAGAAACACTGAAGCTAACACGGACTGCTCAGAATGTACATCGCGGTTCCTCAAAGTGTGATCAAGAAAATATAACAAAAACAAAAAACAAAACAAAAAAACCGGTAAACCGAAAAATACCTACCACACGAAAACGTATTAGTATCGTATTCGCACCACGTCATGGGCCTTGGACAACGTAAGCCAAGGTCCATCTGACATAAGGAATACAATCCTCGTGGGAAGGAAAGCAGGCGTGAAAGTATCATAAATGTAGATGGTATTGTTTAGTTGCTTTCTCCCTGTACCTTTAATCTTTATGATTGCAACAAATGCTCTCGAAAACAAAAGAAACATTCTGAACGCAACTTAGCACTCTAAAATGAAACGAGAATAGGTGCTTGCGATCAGCTTTCATCTGCATCGGCCTTGAAGAATGCGTACTCATCTTTCTGAGTTACACCAAAGTACATGATCGAAGCGATTGCAGCTATGTGTAGTGCCGGGAAAAGAAAAACAGAAAGAAACAACAGAAAGATAGTGACTACACGGCTTGCGTACCAGAGGCTTCCTTGAACGACCAAAAGGTGTTAAAAGCACGACAGACTGTCTTTGACCACGAGATTTCTATTACTCGGGCAATTGATGGCTAAAGATATGCAGGACAAACATTTCAGATATTTTTTTTAATGAAGATCACAACCTATGCACATTAAAGTAAGTGTCACTATTTAATTTTTCGACAATATGAGGGTCACAA